TGGGCCCCCGTGGGCTTCCCCTCCCGGCTGCAGAAGAAACAGCAGGGGCGGGCGTTCTTGCGGTCGGTAACGGGGCGGGGGGCACCGGTCCGGTTGCCGGGAAGGGCTTCGCCAGGCAGGCGCCTTGGGCTCTGTCAGGCTGGCGGGGTGGCTGCAGCGGGCCCGGCTGGGCGTGGGTCTGGCCCTCTCGCACATGTGTATGTCTGGTATCGTTGCCTGCTCCGATGTCACGGTTAATTGGGAAAAAAATTCCGATGCTGTGAAGAAGTCTGTCTTTTAGTAACGTCGGGGGGAGCTGAGGAGTCTCAGCGCTTTGTGAAGCCAAGCCCTGGACAGCCAATGGAAGTGGAGCATTAAGTCATTGCAGGGAAGGGTGCAGGCGGTGGGAGGCTTGTCTCAGCTGTGTTTCATGCCGTGCAGTTTATCGTTAGCGGTAGATTAGGTTTTAGTACTTACAGATGGCATCCCTCAGGCAAAGAGAAGGTTTCAAACTCCATGATTTCCTACAGAAAAGTGAGCTGGAGTGCTCTTGTCAGTCACCCTGAACTTTCCTTTTTTGTCTGTCCACTACACAGGCTTTAAGATTTCTTTTTCTTCCCTTAAATATTTATTCAGTATGAATAAATGTTGCATTGCAGCTTTTGATGGAGACAGCTGGAGACTGTAGGAAAACACATGCCAGAGTGAGTCTCAATCCCCTGACACACCTGCAAGAGGTAGAACCCCACGTGGCAAAGCGGCGCTTGTCACAGGCACGTCACCGGGCTACACTGGCAAGACTCTTCAGCGGCTTGCGGGAAGCTGTTTTATTCCAGTCAGACAACTCAGCCTCAAAGGTGCGGAGCAGTGACTGTATTTCTCTATGTATTGCTATTATACATGGGTATGTTTAAATTTAGCCAGGTCTATTAGGATGACCACTGTATCTTTACGGGTGCCAGTGTGTGTGTAATTTCACTGTGTGCAGCTTTCCTGGATCCCTTTTACTTTAAAGCTGCCAGCTCAGCGTGAGCAAATTGTTCACTTTGTAGTCTCTGGGTCATGTGTTTATCATGTGGCTTATCTGCCCTTTTCTTACAGGGTTTTTGCAGCTTCTTTATAGCTTTGCGGCTTCTTTGTAGTGTTTTGGAAACAAACCATGGGATCCCGTGATGAAGTTATCTTGATTTCACAGCATTTTGCTATGAAATCAGAACAGTGAGTTTAGGGACAGAAGAAGTTATAGGGGAGAGAGTAATTCATTCAGCCTTATGGGGTGCCCTCTGTCTTCGAGACACTCTGGAAAAATAAGTCAGGAAAAAACCAACCACCAGTGCTGTTTATTGGTCTCTTACTAAACTAAGAAACTATTTAATCAAAGCAAAATTGTTTATAAAGATGAAATTGACCCAAAATGCTGAAAAGTTGGATATTACCATGCTTAAGGCAGAGGAATAAACAGGAGTCTTTTATCCTCAGGTCTGCCACCGATTCATTTAGTTAGATTGGTTACTTTCAGTTTTCCAGTTTGTAAAATGGAGAGGATAATGACTGTTTAGGACAGGAATTGTCCTTGTAAAGGGCTTTGAGGCTCTGAACATGCAAAATACTTCTATC